ACATATATATATATATGTGTAAATTAAATGTTGTAATAATATACTTTAATTGAAAAAAAATTTTAAAGTATTAAATAATGCAATAAAATAAATCACTATCACTATATTTTTGTGCTATATTATTTATTATTTCTCTTATCAGTACAGTAGAAGTAAATTTAAAAAATTGTCAAATTTAATAGATTTATTACCATTCCTCTGTCTCTCTTTCTTCCTGCAATAATATTATTGCAATATTATATTTTATTTAAAAATACATAAAACATGAGAAACTAAAACATTTATTATCCAATGGAAGTGCTACACTTTTTAATTTAAATTTAATCAATTTCCGTTTAATTTATTTTTATAGAAAAACAGATACTTTTTAATTAAATAGAACCAAGAATGTCAAATTTGACAGAGTTATATAGAATTAATGATGCTATACGTTTCAATATTGATAATATTGTAACTACTGATCCAATGCGAAAATATTTTCCATGTGCTAGTAAATTCTCATTGGAGCTTAAACTGCCACGTGAATATCGAATTCCATAAGTATAAGAACACATAACGTATGCATCTCGAGCTATTGATCAAATCGCTGCTGCAATGATATCCGCCGATAATTGATTGTCCTCGCGAATTTATTAGAGCACGTACAATCGAATATCACTTCCAGCCTGTCCCGTCATCCCTTTGTCCAAATCGTGTTGTGCACGCCTCGTTACTTTATATTTCGGGAGAAGTTATTCGTTTGCGCTTGACAAATTATACCTTCATTTTCAATGTCCGCTTCTATTCGAAATCCATTGGTATGTAGATAGATATCAATGACATATTTTCCAAATAGCTCTATGCTTATATTAGTAATATATAAATAATTAAATTAGAAATATAATACAAATAAATAAATAAATGATTTTATTATTGTATATAATTATAATTATAATTATTCAACAATTTTATTACTAAAGATTTATGACAGTTTATTATATTGCTCTCATTTATGTGTAAAAACTTTGTAAAAACATTTAGCATAAAAATAGACGTTTGAAAAAAAAAATTCGCCCACTTTTAAATATACTGAGATAAGATATAGAGAATATGGGTCTAGATTATTACATAACACATCAAAACAATTTCAGCAATCACTTTCAGCTGAAACTACTTATTTATTGTAATATCTCATCAAATTATCCTTTATTACAAAGTTTTGTAATCATATGTACACAATGTGCAATTATTAATAACTTTATGATTTTTTTATAAGGATAGACCATCAATTAATTAATTATTTTAAGAAGCAATACAAATTTTTAATTTAATTTATTAGCGTCGTACAAACGTTTTAATATAATTAATTAAACAGAATCTTTTTTGAAATAGGAAATTTGATTTATATATCGATCGAATTTTTAATATATTAATAATTGGAACAATTTCAACCAATTGAATTATGATCGAAACTATATAAGATTATTTGATAGTCTGAATGTTATCAGTAAACATATTACACAATATTACAAAATTTCGTTCCCGTACAATATTATTTCATAAAATTTTCATTAAATCAATTATTTTTAATATGTTTAAATTTATTTAAGAAACAACTGCACTTGTGTTATTTCTATAATTTAAATAAATCTTTTAATGATGTAGGTCATATATATATACACAATTACATAATATATTATTTAATTTAAAATACTTGAGTTTGTAAAAATTACAAAAATATTTTAACAGTTAATGCCATACAGAAAAATATTTTAGGGTTAACGTACTCTCAATTGTATGTGAAATGATAGATTGTGTGTGTTCTCGAATTTTTTATCAAATTTTGTTCGCATTACAAAATTCACTGGCACGTGTATAATTGTATATACATATAGACTAGTATTATCTTATCTATATGTAACGTACGTTATCTGTATCCCCTCTTTATTACGAACAGAAGATATACGAACAGAAAATAACAGTATACATATATGAGTACACAATAATGTTATAAAAATATGTACATACATTGAAATCTAATAGAAAGTAATTTTAAAAAATTCACTTTTGCAGTAAATAAATAATAAAATGTTTAATTTAAAATAAAAAATAAACGTCTCAATTAATAATTAAAGTTAAATAATTAAGTTTAAATTTAAACTAATTATTATTTGAGTCATTTTTATTTAACGTTAGAATATTAAAAGTTAAACGCAATAAATATAGATAAATACTAAATTTAAAGTAATACGTTATATACGTTTATATAATCTCAAACGCTCTCTAAAGATAATTATGAATTGCGTAATTTATATCTCGCATTATGTAACGAAACAGTAACACTATTCTATAGTAATAACAAAATATCGATTTTTATTTGATAAAATAATCGTTTAAAAACACAAAACCATGAGGAACGCGATCAGGATAGAGAGAATTGTCGGTCGATGGCAGCCATTCTGTCCATTCCTTGTCTTGTCAGCTTGGCACAAGCAAGATAAATGACGCGAGAACATGAAACATGGGGGAATACAGAGGAGAGAGTGGTGTGAAAAGTGCGCGCCCAGACAATTCACAAAAGCGTAGAAAATCGATAATCGATACCCCGCTTTTCTCATCACTGTCGCACGCCTGCCTTACCAAGGTTGCATCAGAAAAGTCTTTTTCCCGCTAATTCATGATTCGCAAAACAAAAAGCTGAAGCGCCGCAAAACAATGACAAATTTATATGAGGCAGAGAAAATATATTTTCGTAACTAAATTAAGAAATTATAAAAAAAAAAACAGAAAAAAATTGTAAAAGCAGTAAAAAACCAAAATATAATTTAAAGAAATTTGTTTTGTAATCATGCATTATACAAAAAAAGTATGTAAAGGATAACAATAGAATTTAACCATAGACTTGACTTCGGAATATATAAATCTGGCATTGCTTTTAAGTACTATTGACATTAAAGCTTCAAAAAATTTCGCAGATTGCATTTCTCAGGATTCAATGACTTATTTAAATTTGTAGTCTTTTCTTATCTTCCTTGTCTTTTCTTACTTTCCGAACTTTGTTGCGTTATTGAACATGTGAATCAAGAGTTTTAAATGCGTAAATTATTACATAATTTATTATATAAGTTATACAACAACTTACAAAATTATCATAAGAAATAGATAATTTAACAGAATTATGACTTAATTGAATCATTAATTTATTAAAAATTGTAAAAATTGTAAAAAATTGTAAAAATAAAATACAAATTTTTAACTTAAAATTCTACTTAAAACAAAAATATTTTATTTAAAAATGTTAATGCAAAATTTTTAACAATTAAATAAAAAATTGTATACTACATTTATTGATTATAGACTTGTCAATTAATCGATTTAAAATAATTTGACATCTCAAGACGTCGATACAATTTCAATGTTTTTTAAAAATAAATTTATCGTTTATGTTTTAAATGCTCAGAATTCAACCAATAATTCATTTACTTAATTTTGCTAAGTTATCAGACGCAATTACACGCGATATCTGTTGTTAGTTATCTGTGTAAATCATCTTGTTGCAACTTAACGATTACAAAGGCAAAATCTATCGCTTGCATCATATCACGGATGGTTGATCCATTCAGGACGGAGAAGGCAGGAAATGCATCCGACCATAAGTTGCTTTGTCTCGATAAACATTATATTACAAAATAAATGATATAAACTATTTTAAAAATGTAGTAAGTGTTAATAATTTTATAAAAATAGAAATTTAAGACACATAATAAAAACTTTACAAATTAAGATAAGAATCATTAATTTATTAATAAAAAATTGTAAAAATAAAATATAAATTTTTAACTTAAAATTCTATTTAAAATAAAAATATTTTATTTAAAAATGTTGATGCAAAATGTTCAATAGTTAAATAAAAAATTTTATACTACATTTATTAGCAGTAATAAAATATTTAGAGATATAAATAAATTTTAATAATAAAAAAGAAGCTTTTATATACGCTTAAGAAGCGTGAATAGCAATTAATATTGTAATATAATTATTACATAAATATTTATTAATTATTAAATAAATATAGTCAGACCATATTATTAATCATATTATTAACCTGTTAAATTGCTTACCAGATATTAATAGTATTTACATTATGCTAATACGATTAATCTAGTAGTAATCTCTAACAAAAAATATGTTTTTTTTAAATATATTTACTACAGAAAAAATATCTTTAAATAAGCTATAATTATATTACACAAAAACTAATACAATAACTTTAATAAACACAATCAAACTTTCCATAATCATTTTACAAATGATCTTTAACATGTAATATTTTAATAAACAAATTACTATCAATATTTTTTACTTGAATTATAGAATGTTTAAAATTTCCTTTCAATTTTTACTTAAAGAATTAATTTCTTTTATGACTCAAATGAATATTCAGTATTTCCATCATTGAATCCTTCGAATTTAATGATTATTTCGTTTTTGCCAGTCTCATTCAGCGGAGAAATGAACTTTGCAGCAGGAGCAACCTTGAAGGCGAGGAATCTCGTGGCAGCCGCTTTAGCTGCAATTTATTGTACCTCCTCCGAGGTGGTTCACAAAGCGAGAATTCGACCGACCTCTGGACTCGTAAGTAGGAAAGGAAGGCCTTAGATCGCGATTGCAGTAGTCAGAATGATCGCAACAAGCGACCACGAATTCGATGCCATCTCGACCGCGCAGCGTACTGTTTGTGGTGCACCAGACAGAGTACTCAGTATCCGGAAAGAAGTTCATCTTATTGTAACACCTGGGAAAACAATTTACATAACGAGTACTGCCGCGGACTATAGTGTTCATATCGCCGAAAAATGGAAACAATCCACAGCTGCCGTAAACTGTAAACTGATGTAATATCTTTATTGAAATAGCGGATAAATCAGCGGATGTACCAGCAAATTAAGGAATAAGATTTTGGTAGGATAATATCCAATTGAGATAAAAAGGAATAAAGGAATACTAATGGCAGCGTTTTAATTGGCTCAGTATGCTATGATGCAGAGTGTAATAAGCTGCAGAAAAATAATTAGCATACATTAGACTTGATTGCATTAGACTTTTGATTGTGATCAATCTATTTCTTTTTTCGTTTATATTACAATTAAAAACATAATTTAGAGATACAACACAACTTAAAATTTACAGTTATAGTTTGTAACAAGAAAAATAATTATTAATCAAAAAATTAATTAACCAAAGCCATTGCAATTAAATCTTTAAAAAAGTCTATAAATTTAAAAAGTTTTATATTTCAATAATAATAAAATATATTTTATTTAAAAAATTAAATATATTTAATAAAAAATTGAAAAATGTCACATTTTTAAAAACACCATATTTTTCTCAGTTGCATACATATGTGTAAACTAGTTTAATAAGAATATATACAACATTGTATAATTTTTGTATCAAAGTTTTCATAACGCATATATTATCTAATAAATTTGAAAATTATTTTCAATTTCTGGAGAGATTAATTAAATATTTTTTCTTTTCAGAATTCATGAATTTGTAGACATTCTGATGATACATCTTAAATTAAATTTTTATCTTAACAAAATCAATTTAATATAAACTAAAAAAGTTTTGAAAAATAACAAAACTTTATTTTTCAGTTTATTTTAAATTTTATTTAATATTAAATACTAGAAAATTTTTGCAAATTTTAATTTTGCAAGAAATTAATTTTGTTGAATAACCTTAAAAAGAAAGATACATAGAATAAATAAATAAAATAAATTATTAAAGTTTATCAAGAAATTTTAAAACTCGACGCAATATAATATATAATATATTGTACACTACTTATAATATATTGTACATTAATTAAAATCCATAAAAACATCGATATTATATTTTACGCTTTAAACAGGAAAAAATATAATCTATTATCCTTTTAAATTTTGTAAAAATATTCAACATATACAAAGATAATAAATGTAATACATAATAAAGTCAAAAGGCATGCAAAAAAGTAAGTAATAGTATTTCAATCCTATCCCAGGCAGAACACATATTCATAATATTATACGACGTCTTCACTTTATTTGCCAGTATAAATGACAATAACTTATTAATGACTATGTCCTTATGATATTATGACTTTTGTGTTCTACTTGAAATTTAACCTCACAATTTCAAGAAAATTTTTTAATAAATTATATTGTAAAAATTAAAAAACTTGACATGAGTTGCAAAAGGGTGCATTATATTAATAATAATAAAGCTAATTAAAATAATTTGAAAATAAGTATATCAATGAGGGAATAAAATGATAATCATAATGTTCTTTTATACAAAAATTGAATTTCTCATGTCAACTTTTTAAATATTACTTGATATAAAAATAGATAAAGTCATTAATTATAATACATTTTTGTTAACATTAATAAAGAAAACTATGAATTTTGCAGAAAATCTGAAGGTTACTACAGGAGGCGGGAAAGATATTTACAAAAGCCTTTCTCATGTGGGTCACGCTATCAAAGTTACTTGGGACAATACTATCGTTAAAGAGCGCAGAGAAGAGAGCTATGACAACATGCTACCGGTCCTTTCCGAGTTCACTCAGGAGAATTTCCGGCATACGAAAAAAAAATACAGGAAAAAAATCACCTTGAAGCGACTACAAGCTCCGAAGGTGGCAAACATATCGGTATCACAATAGCGTATGTTATCTTATCCAAATTCATTATCTTGTTCATTACACATTTTTTCTTATAGATGTTGCTTATTTTATATTAATTTCAACATGAATTTAATTTTGAGATCCATTAAGATGTAATTTTTTTAGTTTATAATGCATCAAATGTAAATGTAATGTAAATAATGTGAGCGTGTGTTACATAGAAAAACTGAAGAAGTAATAGAAAATAATAAATGCTAAATAATTATTAATTATATTTTTGTACAACTCCTTACTGCGTAAAATAAGTTGTATCGTATTCGTATCATATTCATTTTAATGGAAACAATTTACGTATTTATACGCAATACGTAAGAAAAACGGAGAGAAATAATCTACAACACGCGCGAGCGACAGAGACGCATAATAACATGTTACTCAAATACTATTAATATTGATAATATACTAATATAGTACTTTGTAACTGACTGTGATATTTAATTAAACATTAATTTAATTTTTTTATAGTTCCAACAATGGAACTTTATACTTCATTGTAATTAAAAAATCACAATATAAAAAAGTTCAGCGTTTTACGCTATAGTGGATGTAATAAACGGCGAAAGAGAACGCGCAAAGCTCATTCGTGAATACGCAAATAGTGCGTCATATATACGCATTTACGTCTACTATCGTGTAACAGTGTGTCAAGAGCTTTCTATTCTTTACACAATATATATAGTGCATGGCTTTGTACAGATATAGAAAACTACACAATGTGCCAAAATCATCGGTTAATATTTTAGGAAATAAATTCTTCAATTAACTTTGAAATAATCCTTGACTTCTGCAACATAACATACAAATATTTTTTGATTTTTAAATAATTAAGAATATAGAGTTTAATAAATTAAGATCCAAAAGATAAATACATAAAAAAAATATCGTTTTCTTATCAAAAATAAAATAAGTCTCATTTAAGGATCTCAATTGAAAGATTATTTAATATTAAAAAATGTTAAATGATATTATTTGAACTTTCATCAGAAAAAATGGCAGATTAAAATAATCTACTCCTAAAATATCATCAAATAATTTTTATATACATTTCGTATAAAAGTGCACAGATAACAGTAGCGGGAACGTGACAGACAGCGTGTCAGAGAGGACTCAAAATGATAATGCTCGAGCAAAATAAAGATATATACATTGGCAGAGATCGTGACATAACACTCTATTCCGATCATAAAAAAATAACTCATGGCTAGGCTAATTCTCCATTAAGCTATATAAAAATGCTCTAACCATTGTTCGAGCCGCTTTTGCTTTATCATACAACAGAAGAAGCTTCATATTATGTACAAATTTTTTTGCAATATTAACTTCTTCTTTTATATTACTTCTTTTATATTGCAAATATTATAAATTAAATTTTTATTGTAATAAAAATTCTTGAATTTATTTCTTAATAAGCTCATTTATAAAGAAAAAAAAGAATGTAAAATATCCCTACTGAAAATAGATTAATATAACAATATTGTTCCTTTGATTGCAAAGATTCTTACAAATGATTAAATTAAATATATTTTATTGTGAATAAAATATATAACTGTATTATTTACTGTTTTAAATATTATATACTTTGAACTTGCGATTAAGCGATTACTGACAATGAGTATTCTTATACAAAATATATGTCCACAAAATTTAATAGTTTTATTAAACATAATAATTTATCTTTATTGTTTAAGGTAGCAATAAAAAAACACAAAAAGTTAATTAGAACCATTCAATTATATATATATAAGTAAAGTCAATGTAGTTATAATATAAAGTTAATTATCAACATCTATGAACAAGACCTTAATAATTTTGGACGTTACTGCGAATAGAGTTGCCCCTTTAACGCTTTAAGTAAATAGTTGCGTGAGATAGGTCAAACTAGCTTCTAACTTGGAAACAATTTCTTTGTCACATACACAACTGCATATTCTGCTTTCACTCTTGTTAATCTTAGTTTAGATATTTTTAGAAATTTTTCCATATATATGCTATATCTATACATTACTCGTACTACTATAAAATAACTAATATCACAAATATCAAGTTTATAAATAATCATGCAACTATATGTTTAATTACACTGTACGACAAAATTTGATCTCTTTTCACGAATGTGAATAATCATTTTCAAAGTATTTTGTCTTGTACATGAATCTGTCGTTCAAATCACGTGACAAAAAATATAACGTAAAAATAACGCTGTAGTAACAAATTTTTTTCTTTAAATTTCGTTACTGCTACGCAAAAATATCAACGTTTAACTTTCAAATTAATTTTATTTTTTTTGTATGATCTTTCATATATGTATGTAATGCATAGAAAAGACATTTTATTCCATCTTATTGCATTTTATAGAAGGAAAAAGTGTTTTTGTATTTACATAATATTATTAAATCATACTAAATCAAAATATAAAATTAACAAAATATAATATGGAAGATTGTAAAAATCTCAGGTTGCAAAATGATGTTGAACAGTGTTATTAAACGTTGCCGGGACTCATTGGCACAATTTTTACAATTAAACTTTTAAACTTGTTGATAAAACGTATTGATATGATAAAGAGAACCATTTTTGACATTTCCAGATACGATTCTGTGTACTTATACTATGTAATTTTTATGTAATAAAAATACAAACATGCATTGTAATCAGCTTTATAAAGAGATGCCTTTATAAAGAGATAAATTGATAAATATCACAGTGTAACTTATTTATATAACATTAAATTAATGACTTCACATTAAATTAATAAAAATGTAATAGATATAAAAAGACAGATAGCAGACATATGTTCTTGATAAAGATTATATCTTTTAAAGTTATTTTGTAATGATCACGTAATAAAATTACAGAGTAATTGTTACAGACTAATAAATGTAAACTATTTTAAACGTCGCTTGCTTTAATTTAAAAATATAAAACATTTTGTCAAAGTTAAGTTGTATTTTAACTCTGAGTGTTTATGCATTTTTCGTGCATGCGGTGCAGCAAATCAAGCTAAATATGAATTAAAGCCCATCCTTACATACAATTGATTTCAATTATTTTATTATAATTTA